GGCGCTTGTTGAAGCCCCCCCGGGCGGCCCCCCCCCCCCCCCCCAGGTCCCCTGCCAGCTGGGGCTACTCTGACCTGGCTCAACATGCTGTAATCCCAGGCACATGTATAAATGTGGTGCCCAGGGGCAATAAACTCCAGCGTGAATGCACCAGAGTTTTTCAGCTGAATTAATTTCACGTGTAAACATGCCCACAGTGCTTGAAACATAAACCTGGAGCAAACTGCACTACAGCAGCTGCACATGAAAGAACAGTCTGTGCCTTGGAAGCCCATAGGTAGTTATAAGTATGCGAGAATTACTCTCAATTCTTTTTAGAAGTAAATATGCCACCGCTGGGGCAGGCTACCACATTTCTTTGAGGCTGTGTCACTTATTAGCAGCTATTTTCTTTTAACATGGGACAGCTTGACTTTACACAGGTTAACTTACTCATGTGTCCATGACTCTTTTAACATGGAGTAAGAGACCCTGGAATGAATGTCTAATTCCTGGGAAGCAGAACTTCTGTTGTCTAATATTTGACATGCAAAACTAAGCTACTGGTGGATCCTTTTACTGGAATCAGTTCTATTTTATGTATGTATAAGTACTTGTTGTTTGAAAGACCAGTTTTTTGTTTGTCGCTATGTCCTCAAGCCCACCCCACCTCTTCTTCACATGGGTTGCCTTCTAAACAGGAAGCAATGTGACTGCATCTTTGCAAAACTTAGGGCAGAGTAATTAATTAATGCTGACTAACCTGCCTGTCTGTGGTGCCCTGCAAATGCAGCTGGACTGCTTCTGGTTTAAGAGGCAGTATATGTGGAGAACTGTGCTGTGCTGTGCTTGAGGGAACTGCCACTAGGCATAGTAAATTTACTGTGCAGACATGATCCATGAAGACATACAGTAATGACAAGGGCAGCCAAGAACAGATATGCAAGAAAATACAAACATCTTATGACGACAAAGAGATATCCCAGGATCCCAAAAGAACTGGTACTAGTCTCCTAGCAATTTAAATTCATTATCTTTAATGAAGCAACTCCTAATGTACATTGTTGTGGTTAAGAACAGAATCAAGTTGTGTAGCGATTATGGGCTCCTGGTCAGCTGCACCAATTGGAGAAGACTAGAAGGCTGTGCTAGAGAGACAGGAATAAAAGTTGGATAGATCCTGGAAGGAAATAGATTACAACCTACATTAGCGGTATATGTGTCTCTGTCTCTTCCTCACAAATCCAATGAACATCTGGTACAGAACAGAATAAAAGGCTCCACCCACCAATGTAATTTTCTCGCTATCTCCTCTGTTTAATTAAGTAGGGAGCATGTATGAAACGCAGCTTTTCAGCCTTACATTTTTTCCCCCACTGGAAGTGTATGCTAGTAGCTGCTTTACCAAATATCTAATACTATATGTCATTCATATTTGGATGTTACTAGAGGCCTGATTCTGCTGTGACTGGTTTATGATTCTGATTCAACAGGATACTTCAGAATGTGTACAACTTTAAGCACATAAGTGAAGTCACCTAGAGTACTTGGATGCTTAAAACTGAGCGCATGCTGATTCAGGATCTAAATCAGGAAAGTCAGTGGAGTTCTATTGCTGTCAAACCATCTGGAAAGAAGTCAGTCCTATTGTGCTGTACTACCCTACTTTGCTTACAAGTAATCCATTTTAAGCACGACATTAGTTGGGCATAAACAGAAATGTGAAGGACCGTCTGCATCCAAATTAAGGGCCATGAATTGTTTGGTCATGCTTTTGAAGATGAGAAGTAATCAAGGTTGGGGGGTTGAGTTAGAGTTATACCAAGACGCACACAAAAAAGCAGTTTGAAACTGGAAAAGTGGGCTAGGATCCTCAAATTAGAGATGGGGAGGGGAAGGATTCTTGTTTTGTTTTGTTTTTTTTTAATTCAAAGATATTTTAAAAATAGATTTATTTTAAAGGAGTAGTATTATTTTGGTCAATATTATTGTGTCTTGTATTAAGATGCCCTTGTTCGAAAATATTTAGCTGTCCTTCATCTGAAGAAGGACTTTGTCTCTGAAAGAATGTCCAATAAAAGATATTATTCTCCCAACTCCCACCACCACCCCCCAAAAAAACCGCCAAACCATCCTGGCTCCTTGTCTAAGAAGATTCTTTTATCCATCTACTTGTACATCATTGCTTTGACTTAAGTCAGCTTGGAAGCTCTTTAGGACAGGATCTTATGAGTGCTATTTTAACTCAAATAATGCATGGGTTGAAAAAGATGGGGGTTGAGGGTGAAGAGTATCAAGGGCTGCTTTTAAACTATGTTAGTGTGGCTGCTACCTCATTTTCTACCCCCTCCCCCTTGAGTTAGTGAATTGAATTGTATTGAACTACATGCCAACTTGCTCAAGAAGAAATGGAATGAAACTGGATAGAGGTGATATATCAGTAAGGCTTCCATGTTTTGGCCCCTGCCTTTCCAATTCCATTATTGATATGCATTTTATAACCTCATGTCTCCACCCCTCAGTGGTTAGAATTATAACGAGGCTGAGCACACTTGGTTTGAATGTTCTTAAATAATCAATATGGATGCTCATGCAGTTTAATAAGAATAAATCATTGCCCTTGAAACAACACACTGTTGCAACAAGCCAAGCAGTCCAAGAATAGTTGCTTGCTATTTATTCTCAAGCTGTGTGTATGCATTTTATTACACACCACTTTGGCTCTCTTCTAATGGGGCAGTTTCATTTCCCATGTCTTTAATAGCTCAGTTGCATAGAATTGCTTTGAGTGCTCTTTTTTTATATAAAATAATTTTACCACTTCTTCAAGCAGGCTTCTTTTTCCATTGAAACACACTAAAAATTGCTTCTCTATAACATGCAGATGTGTAAAACACAAAGGGGTGTTTTTTCAGAAGCACTCAGCATTGGCATAATTCCACTCCCACTGAAGTCAGATTTCTAGTGTTCTTCATTGGCAGCAGACCTTGGCCAAGTCTGATTGACAGCCCAGCTTACCAAGTTAACCCCAACAACAGAAAGTGAGCAGTGGCTCTGGTACAGTGAATGCGTGGTCTGATTGCACTGAGTGTATGCAAATATAACACACACACACACACACACACACACACACACACACACACACACACACACACACACACACACACACACACACAAAAGAAAAGA